AGCTTTGGTTTTATCAATTATTTAATTGATTTGTGACCTATGTCTATTACTATGTTGATGTGTTGCAGAAATGAGCAATCGGGGCAGGCCAATAGTCAGTTATCATCACTACCATTAACTTTGCTACTTGATATATTCTCTCGTCTTCCTGCAGAGACTCTTTTGCAGCTTACATATGTTTGCAAGGAATGGAATAATCTTATTAATGACCCCGAGTTTGCTAAAATGCATCTTAAAGATTCTGGAAAAAGAAATGACAACTTGTACTTCATTCTTAGAAGGGAGAAGCTATATCTGATTAATTTTCACCTGCTAAATAGAGCAGTACAGATAAATCATCCTGTAGTGTGCGCTAAAGGATGGACTGATGTCTTAGGGTCATGTAATGGTTTGCTCTGTTTATATAATGAAGATGAAGAGCTTGCTATCTGGAATCCATTAACTGGAAGGTGTCACAAAATACCCATTACGAAGCACCAGTCTACAAAGGGTTCCAATGTCTTCACCACTTTCATCCACGGATTTGGCTATGATTCTATTAATGATGATTACAAGGTTGTTAGGATCTTGGAGTTTTACTCATACAATAATCGGCATCATGAGTTTCATGACTATTTTGACGATTATATTTCTGATTCTGAAGCTGATACTTGTCCTGCCTCTGAAGTCCAAGTTTACAGTTTGAAAGCCAAATGCTGGAAAAGTATCAAATCTTTCCCTTTGAGCCTATGTTATCCTTGTTCAGGGGTCCTTGCAAATGGAGCATTACATTGGGTTGCAAATAAAAATCAGGATACGGATAGTGTTTATGAAAGTATTCTGTCCTTTGATCTTGGTTTAGAAGAATGCAGAGTAGTGCCACAACCTAATTATGATGACATATATTTCAAAAGGACTTTATGGGTATTAGAAGGCTCTCTTTGCATCATCTGCCAATACCCTAGACGTGGTGTTGATATATGGGTGATGAAGGATTATGAGATGAATACCTGGAGCAAGCTTATTTCCATTACTCAGCCAAAACCTATAAAGTCCTTTGAGTATATCAAGCCATTGGCGTATTCAAAGAATTGTACTGAAGTTCTACTAGATCTTGACTATAAAAAGCTTGTTTGGTATAACATGAAAAAAAAGACAATCAGGCATGTCAATATCAGTGGCCTGCCGGAGTCATTTGATTCAGAGGTTTTTATTACAAGTCTTATTGATCCTAACAACCTGATTCCAAGGCAATCAAAACAATTAGGTCAATCCAGCTGTTCCTTTGCAACCTTTTCTAAGAAGTTGGTTTCTCATATCCTTTGCTACCTCCCTGTTAAGACCCTTCTGCAGGCTCAATATGTCAGCAAAACATGGTACAAGATCATTAATGACCCAGAGTTTATTAAGATGCAGCTTGAAGTGTCTAGCAATTCCAACAGTAGCTCGTTGCTCATTCTTAGTGGGGAAAAGCTTCTTTCTTTAGATTATCAACTGTTTGATAAAGCTGTTGAGATTAATCACCCAAGTGTTGGGAAATCAACTGATGTTGTTGGCTCTTCGAATGGATTGATCTGCTTATATAAGGATGGAGATATTGGTTTAGTGAATCCATGGACTGGAAAATATGAGAGCTTACCTTCTTCTAACTTTCAGTTCCATGCTTCTAGCACCTCACAGTGTTGGTTGATTCATGGATTTGGCTATGATCCCAGTAGCGATGACTACAAAGTAGTCTGTATTTTGCAGCTGCACAATAGTTTGAGTGGTGGTAGTGTTCACTCTGAAATTCAAGCTTATAGCCTGAGAACCAAGTGTTGGGGAAAGATTAAACAGTTTCCATACATCATTTGTCATCCATGCTCAGGTGTTCTTGCTAGTGGCGCGTTGCACTGGGTGGCACATGAAAATCCTGAATTGTTCAGCAGCTCAAAATTGCTTATAGCTTTTGATATTGGGTCTGAGAAATGCAGGGTGGTGACACAGCCAAGTTATGTTGATACAGATTTTCACATGAGTTTGGGATCATTAAAAGGGTGGGTGTCTTAGCTTGCTATGTCATTACCCTCGACAAAGTGTAGACATCTGGGTAATGACTGAATATGGAACAGAGTCATGGACAAAACTTTTCACCATCTCACAGCCAAAAATAATCAAACACTTTAAGTACCTGAAGCCGTTGGGATATTCAAACAACGGGGCTGAAGTTCTGTTGGAACAAGATAATGAAAAGCTTCTCTGGTTCAACTTGGTGAAAAAGAAAGTCAGATACCTCAATGTCCGAGGTCTACCAAAGTCTTTTGAGACAGTGATGTGCTCTGGAAGTCTTGTTCAGATTGGCAACCCTCCTAGAATTTTCCATGAGAAGCATGAGCAAGCACTGAGCAAATCTCAGAATGGCAAGGATAAAGTGAGGTACAATTCAATCATCTCCCTGCTTTAGAAACTCTGAACTTATGCGTCCATCTTATAATCAAATGTAAATCCTCCTGTATCCCTTTTCATTGAAATATGATTATGTTGGTTTTTTTCAGGAAAAATGTGGATGGATTTTTATCCAAGGGATTCAAGTTGAAGCTTTGAAAAAAGGGGATACTAAGGTTAGAGTTTTATTTCGGTCCTCTATTAAAGAAAATAAGTTTTACTTTGCTCTTCATCGTCTCAAATTACTGTTATCCAATCTTGCTTCTGTTATGTCTTTGATATTACATTCCTTGATGTCCAGTTAATCGCGCCTTGTGCTCAATTCAAAAAGTTTTCTGAAGAATTGGAAGGAATGAACAATATGTTCTCTGAAAAATAAAACTAATCCAATCTTTTTACTTTTTAGGTTTTGAACAAGAACTTTGTTAAATAAGTAGACTTCCAAACTAGGTTGCATTGAACTTTTCATCTGTGATGTGTATGTGCTATGTCATCTTTTGTTTTGCTTGATGGCTTGTTAAACACTTGCTTTTTATTGATTCTTAAGAGTAATTTAGGTTATTATGTCTTATGCTCATGTGATTTCTCGTTCTTTGGTTGATTAATTTTCTGATTTTAAAAAAACAAATTTGCATCGTGTCTTGCTGCCTTGCTAAATTGCTGCACCTGTTTGTTTGAATGAAAGGCACAAATGTCTATATGTAGCCCTAAGGGCTATATATAAGCATTAAATATACTCTTAAAAATTGTATAAAATTAGAAATTCATGACAAAAACACGCGTAAATCAGTGTTATTAGTGTTTATATTTTGATGATTTCTTAACTTTTTACGATTTTCAAGTGTAAATTTAATGCTTATATGTAACCCTAAGGGCCATGTATAACATTTTCCATAAATAAAAAGAAGCTTATAAAAGTTAAAAGGGTATTGGGATTGGATGAGTTGGTTTGTATGTATGTAAAAAATTAAAAATTAAAAAATTAAAAAAAATAATAAAAAATATTGTGATGAGTTAGTCGGGTGAAGTTCTGTATGGTATCTGATGAATTGTAGACAAGTTCAGATTGAGCCGTTCTAGGTTTAGGTTGAGTTAAGAGTTAAGACTTAAGAGTGGATCAAAATTTGATTTATGTCATATTGACTACATCTTCTAATTGATTATAAGTCGTAACACTGTGTAAATATGAAATTCGTTTATTAGTATCAAGTCCATAATGAATTTGGTTGATTTAGGTCAACTCAATTACCTCATTAGTTGAATTTTGGTTTTGTAATTACTGTAAATGAGTTGAGTCAATTGCATGTTAGATTGGGTTTTATTCTAAACAAAGTATCTCAAATACTCTTGTCTCAAATCATATGATGTTATGATTGGATAATTTTATAGATCCTTTTTGGATGACTAACTATATATGGGTTTAATTGGATCATGATTTACTTTAGACAAGGACAGTTTTCTTAAAATAGTCTTTTTTTTTTTTTTTTGTTTTGTTCTATTATCGCACAATTAAGATGAAATGATTTAGCCAGCCAAGCTCCGCAAGTCATCGCTTGAGAATAGAGGTGAGAGGTAACTAGGTAAGGGGATTCCCCTACTCTCAAGCATTTTGTAGTTGGTGTCTTGGTGTGACCTCAAAGTCACAAGGTGAGTTCTCCACCAACTTCAAAATAAAAATTATAATGACTAATACTTTGTACTAATTAAATGATAGTATAACGTAACTCTAGAATGACTTAAAAGTTAAAACCGAGTTGTAAACTTTGTCCAACATTTGCATTGAACTCAATTCTAACATTGCTCTTATTGGTTAGATGTTCACAAATCTCATTCTTGAACTTAAATATTACAATTCTAAGATTAGATTCGTAAGTTCTTCATATAACCCCAAATCAAGCTCTCGACTTGATGATGAATACTTCGGAACTCTTATATTCGTCATTCAATTGATAATTTTAGGCATTTAGGAAATATGTAAAGAGTACTCCGTATAATTTTCTAAAATTTACAATTTAAAAATTATGTGAGTATAATATTATTTGAACTACTACGGGTTTGTTCTCATACGTTGAAATTCAGTTCAGTTCAGCTCCTAATTTTTTTCTCTTATAAAATATTCAGTTCAGCTCAGTTCAGTAAATGAGAACAGGCCCTACGTAATACTCCATATAATATTAAACTTGAGCAGTCGAGCTTGACTCACAAAAATAGAACCAAAATTAAACCAAACTTTAACCCAACCATTCCAAACCATTCATGAGAAGTTAAAATGAGAAATGAAGGCTCAGTCAAGTCACATTTGCACATTTACCCTAGCTAGAATCGCCCACATTTGCACCGTCAACCTCGAGTTTTTGGATTTCCGCATTTTCGGGTTTTTGAGTTTTTGGTTATGTATGATGTTATCAGATTGATTGGAAATTTTACAATTTGATGTATATGCTTATTCTTCCAGTTAAGCTTTTGCTTTGCTGGGTGAAGCTCTGCATTTTCGGGTTTTAATTGCCATCTGATTGTTTAGAAATTTAACATTATATTATCTTAGGCTGTATTTGCTTATTTTTCAGTTAAGCTCTTGCTTTGGTGGGTGAAGTTAACTGAAAATTATGGATCTTCCATTGATATTGATCATGGATATACTGTCTAGACTTCCAGTCAAGTCTCTTTTATGCTATCGTTGTGTATCTAAATCATGGAAGTATTTAATCGACGACCCTTATTTCATCAAGCTCCATCTGCAGTACTCCTTGGAAAATACCACTAATCTTGCCTTGATCATAAGAGCCGGTTATCTTTACTCGGCACACTTCCCTGGACTCAATGAGGCTATTGTGATAGACCATCCTTTGAAATGTGGAGATATTGGAACTGAGGTTTTGGGTTCTTGCAATGGGCTACTGTGTTTGTCAAATGGGGAAAGACATGGTAAAAATGGTACAATTATCTATAATCCAGTAACCAGAAAGTCCCGGGAAGTGCCTGCTTCGAAACTTAAAATCCCCTATGGATATGAGTACGTGATATATGGCTTTGGTTATGACCTTGTTAATGATGATTATAAGGTGGTTAGGGTTATTCAGTATTCTACGGAGCATCCTGACTTTTATGATAGTGAAGTCAAGGTTTTTAGTTTGAAGGCAAACTCTTGGAGAAGGATTCAGGACTTTCCTCGGGAATATTACCTTTCTTACAAAAGGGGATGGGGGGTTTATGTCAGTGGCTGTTTACATTGGATGGTAACCTTGAAGCCTGACTCAAATGGGTCCAAATTGATTGTTGCATTTGATCTAAGTTCGGAAGTTTGTAAGGATGTGTTACTTCCTAAGATTTCAGCTGGTGAAGTTCATTTGACTGTCGAAGTCTTGGGTCAGTGCTTATGTCTCCTAGTCAATTATCCTTCCATTCGGAGTGAAGTGTGGGTCTTGAAAGAGTATGGTGTAGTGGAATCTTGGTCTAAGTTGTTCACAGTTTCACAGCCAGATAGTATTGGACCTTTTGAATATGTGAGGCCTATTGCTTACTCAAAGGACAGTTTTAAAGTGCTCCTTGAACAAGACCTACAAAAGTTTATTTGGTATGATGTGGAAAGGCAAAGTGCTGCAGATGTGAAAATCCCTGGTATGCCATCACATCCAGGAGCAACAATGTTGGTTGAAAGCCTTGTACTTGGTAGTCGTAAGACACACATGAAAAAGCGGTATAGATATTACTCTCCTTTTTCTTTTGCTTGCATGTATGTTGTTTAGAATCCTGTTTCTATTGAATGTGTGTGTATGAGGCCCGGTGTGGGCACATATATTCTCTTCTGTTGAATATATGTTAGTTGTAGGTTATTCCAATATATGTGTTAGTTTTCTATCAAGGTGCCATTAAATGTCTTTAATTCTATCCTATTGGCATGTAATATTAGTAGTATCAAGATGTTTCATTTCAATAAAACGAATAAAATTTCAAGCTTGAGGTAGGTGATCTTTTGAAACCATGTTTTGTTAGATGGACAGTCCTATAGTCTTCAAGTCCTTAGGGGCATGGTTTTTTTCCTCCTTATTAATAAGGTAATAGTAATGAAACATTCAGTTGAGGCTTAATTTATTCACCCAAGTCTCGTTTGTGTAGAAATTTGATCATGAAAACATTTCTTATTAATTGTTCCTTGTAAAATTCCTTTAATTAAGCAAGTAGTCTAAGCAGGAACTTTTCTTATGCTTTAGCTAAGTTACATAACCAATAAGTTCATCCACATAAATTTCTTACTCTATGTTTTCATTGCAAACTCTTTTATGCAATTCTTGGAAGAATTTTTTTATGCTTTAACAAATTTCTTCATGGTGCCCTCTGCACACCAAGAAGGCAAGAACATATATATCACCTATTCTGGTTTTTTTTTTTTCCCTCAATGACATAGGAAGTGTGAAATTGTGAAAGTATTGTGTGTGTTGAACACCTACTTTTTGTTTTTGTGAATTCTTCGGGAAATACTCACTACCTTCGTTTTTTTTAGTTGACACGTTTTGACTTTAGCACTATTCATACACTCCCCTTTATCGTGTTTTGTGCTCTATACATAATGAAAAATATTAACATGTAGGATTTTGTTAGATTCGTCATAGTATATAAATTCAAAATATCAACTTTTCATAGTTTTGATACTAGTAGTTGTTTATTTAGTTGAATTGCTTGCTAATTGCTATGCATTTCCTCTTTTCTTGCGAAATTGCAGATTCGTATTGACTATTGTGTTGTGGTTAATCTTCGTTTTTTAATAGTTGCAACACACACTTCTTTACGGTATTTAAGAAGTGTAGGGTTCACATTATATAATACACTTTAAAATGAGGTATACGGAGAAAGTATATTATTATGTAACATGATAAGAGTATTAAAGTATCACCAATGACCAAACTTCTGGGTTGACAAACATACTTGTTGCAACTACTTAAAGAGCGAGAGATAATGGAGAATATATATAGAAAGTAATACAGCAGTTCATAATAAAGAATTTGACATACAAGCTAGATTCAAAAGAGGTAGTTCGTTTTTATTTTAAATTTATGATCGAAAACTCAAATTTCTAAATGATTACAAGATCTTGGGCTAAATCCCAAAAAATCTGTAACCGAAAAATTGATATTGGCGAAGACCACATTTCTACTTATAGCATTTATTTCTCACATAATAGAGAGAAGTAGGAAAATTTAGGGACGGAGGGAGAAAACAACTAAATTAAAAGTGAGTAAACAAAATTCCATAGTAGTAATATTCTGTCTTTGTTTCTCTCTTTATTTTCGTATTCCTCCACACGACATTGCTCTGTTAGGCTTTCGCCTAACCAAAAATTCTGTTATTTCAACTACATCAAATGATCTTTCAAATTGGTCAAGGATAGTGATAATTATATTACAGTCATGGTAGTTACATTTTGAGTTACATTTTAAATATAATGAAAGTGGAAATATATACCTGTAAAAGTTTTAGACATACATCATCCTGCCGCCTTATGTAGAAATAGTTTATAATACACAACAAAAAATCGAACTGACTAATCCAAAGGCAAAGGACCATGAAACTCTTAATCCTTTACCAAATTGACCTATAGATCTATCGTAGCTACAAATCAAAGTTACACAAACGAAATAACCCTAACCTTAATTAGATCCAACTCGGATAATGGATCCAGCCCGATCCAAGCCCAAATTTTTACACAAATTTGCCACCTCTAAATATAAGAATATGATGTTTCAAAAACAAACAAACAAAAAAAAAAAACTAAGAATTTGTTGAGAAGTCATCACAAGATGTGATATGACTAGGACATATGTGAGCAAATCAAAATCTTGAAATTATGTGGAAGGAAATAATTTTTACACAAATTTATGATTTGGTTCACACATACTACAATATCATGATGATTCCATATCACAAATGTAACAATTAAGAATATCGTGATTACATCCACCTCACAAGTTTACTTAGCTATAAATACATAATAAATACAAGGTTTTTTGTTTTTTCTATACAATATTTATTTTAAGGGTTTTTGCTACCAAATGTTTGAGTAAAGTGAGGTGAGAGCAATGGATGAAGAAGAGAAAGAAGGAAAAACCTTGTATCTGATGCTCTTAGTATCGATTATGCATCAAATCAGTATATTACCTGAAAATTACTTCATTTCTTTAAATTGCTTCTTCATTTGAGTGAATGATTTTCTTTGTGTTGTACAATCTAAGAGTAGAGATTAGGGATTAAAGTCTTAAACATAAGCCCGTATGCTATACACGATGTTAGGCTTAACAAAGAGGGCGCAGTGGAGCTGTGTAGACTGCTATATATGTACATTTTAGTGAATGTGTTCCTATTTTTTATTTTTTAAATGCATATTCATGATTGATTTATCACGTACAACTATATTAATTATATATGTGTGTGAATGCAGGATGCAAATTACATGGATATCAAGAGTTTGTTGGATTTAACTTGTCAGTGTGTTGCTGATTTCAACATTAAGAATGATTTCACAGCCGAAGAAGATGAAGAAGAAGTAGTTCAGTGCACTACAAAAATAAAAGCTTTTTAGCAACTAAGTTTGGCAACAGATTTTTAGAACGTTGCTAAATAGCAACAAATCTAAATTTTTTCATTGCCTAATTAAAAGCGACATTTTATGCTTTAGTTTTTTAATAAACAATGGCTACATGTTTTTGATTTGTTGCTTTTTAAAACAAATTGTCTCTCTAGTTGTTACTAGATGACATCATATTTTTCTCTTATTGCCAAATAGTAACAAACTATGACAACAAATATTTTATTTGTATTTATTTAGAAACAAACAAAGGCAATGAATTTTTGAGTTGTTTCCATTAGAAACAAGTATTCTAAATTATTGTTGCTAATTGATAACGTATTATTTTATTTGTTGCCATTGGAAACGAGTTGTGATACATATTGTTGTTAATTTATATGTAGGCCACTTTTTGATATAATGTATAAAATAATTTTTTGCTATAATGACATCAAATAGAGACGGATTTCAATTTCTCTCTAATTTAGAGACAAATTTTTGATTTTGTCCCTAATTTAGAGACAAAATTTTCAATTTCGTCTCTAATATTTCGTTCACTTATTATAAATTATATGCATAGAAGTAAACAAATAGTACTTGGTATAGTTGGTAAGAGATTCACCATGTGACTTTGAGGTCACAAGTTCGACTCCTACCAAATGCGATTCTTGAGATTGAGGATTCAAATAGCCTTACATGCAAAGTCGAGCCGAGTTGACCTAACCTAAGTGAGATTTCAAATTGGTAAAGGCCAAGATCGGGTTGAACCGAATTGCTAATAGAGTAATAGGGATTGGGTTTTTGTCTCGTAGTGTTGATAGCAACCAATATTTATGATTTGTTGCTATTTTTATGAACCAATTTTAATAATTTGTAGCTATTTTTAGGAACCAATATTAATAATTTGTTGCTATTTTAGGAACTAACATTAATCATTTGTTGCTAATTTTAGCAACGACCAATGGTAATCTGTTGCCAAAGTTGGCAACGAATGCACCAAAAACAGCAACAATCATGGAAACTATATTTAAATTGATGCAATATTGCAACAAATTGCTTTGCAACTTGTATCCAAAATCCCATGGCAACAAGCCTTTTAGCAACAACAAATTTTTGTTTCCAACCCGTTGCTAAATAGAGTTGGCAACGGATTTTTGGTGAATAGCAACAAATTTTGGTTGATGCTATATTGATTTTTTTTATTTTTTTTTTTTTGTAGTAATGGGCTTTTGAGTAAACTGAATTAGCAATGGATAGGACTAAACTGTTTATAACAACTCTACCATTTACCGGTCTGAATAAGGAGAGCAGTAAGGATAATTAGCAGTCTTATTAATTGTACTTAATTTATTTATTTTTGGAAAAAAAAAGGAGGGTAGGGTATTTAATCCACGCACCTAATGAAGGAGTATTTATTGATCCATAAACAATAGTGTACCTAAAAAGGTTCCATGGCTGGTTTACCGTATTAAATTGGTCAATCTAAATAAGGAGGAGGAGAATTATTCGAGTCAGATACAAGGTCCAACGAGGTTGCATACTAAAACTAATTGATGATAGTAGGAGCTATTCCTCTTCTTCAAAAATGGAACCATCTCTCCCCTGTCTTCAATATGAGACACTTATGAGAGGGACGCCAGAGACTAAAATGGATTTAAAAATAGGTGGCCTAGAAATTATGATGCTTATTTAGTAATGCATGTCTTTGATTCAAGGTGGTACATGCCTTTAGACTTTAGATTCCGTACAAAGGATCAGTTGATCTTGAATGTCCAATTTATGTAATAGACCAGTCTTGGAAAATTGTGGTGATGAATGTTAATTAGTTAAAAAAGAATGTTAACCACAAATTATATCTTTTTACATGGAAGCACCACATCATGTATGTACGTGTATGATATTCACAGTATGTTTGCTGTCTCTTATAATTTTTGATTGGTTTTCAATTTTTGATTTTTTCTTTTTTTTGGTTTTTAGAGAGCCACAAGGGCGGGGAATGAGAATCGATCCCAAGATCTCTTGAAATCGGGAAGGGAGCTCTAACCACTTGAGCTATCCCTCACTCTCAGTTTGCAATTTTTGATCGGTTTTCTTTTACATGGTTCTCTTTACATGTACTATAAGTCTATAATATCTGGATGATTTTATATTAAAATTTTAACTATTATATCATGATTACAAAAATCTCACATATACTATAATATTTGGATGATTTTATTTCATAATTATACCAATTATAACGTGATTACAGAAATCTTACATATACTATAATATCTGGATGATTTTATTTCATAATTTTAACAATTATAACGTGATTACAGAAATCTCACATATACTATAATATCTGGAGATTTTATTTCATAATTATAACAATCATAACGTGATTACAGAAATCTCACATATACTATAATATTTGGAGATTTTGGCCTTGTTTGGCAAATGGCTGTTGGCGGTTGACTGTTGGGTGGTTCACTTGGCTTGTTTGACCAGCTGGAATGTTTGGCTGTTTATAATGGCTTTTGAAATTAGCTGTTTAAGCTGGCTGTTTATAAAAGTGTTTGGTAAATTAATTGTTGGTTGTTGGCTGTTTATTAGATAATTTGTGGGTCAACAAGCCAAAAGCCAACAAAAAAGCTACTCAAAGCAGCTTTTTCATTTTGGCTTAAAAGCCAGCTTTTTCGCTGACTAAAAAGCCAATTACCAAACACATTTTTTGGCTGTTTGACCATCTAAAAAATCCAAAAGTCAAAAGCTAACCAAAAAGCCATTAAAAAGCCAATTACCAAACATGGCCTTTATTTCATAATTTTTACAATCATATCGTGATTACATATCCCCAATTCACAGCTGCACTAGGCTATAAATATTTACAAACTTTTGTATGTGGCTGGCGACATGGTGCGACAGTGTTATTTGTAAGGTGTTACTGGTTTTGTCAGGAGTTATTTATAGGGTGTTACTGGTTTTGTCAGGAGTTACTTGTAGGTGTTACTTGCATTCTGGGGTTACTTGTATGGGTCTTACTGGTTTTGGTCATGGGCTACTTGCTTGTAGGGTGTTACTGGTTTTGTCATGGGT